AGCTCAATAACACTCCTGCATTTTCCTTTAATGGCCCATGTTCTTACTTTGCAGACTGTGCAACAGAGAGGTGCTGCAGTCATCAAGGCCAGGAAACTTTCTAGTGCCATGTCTGCAGCCAAGGCCATCTGTGACCACATGAGAGACATCTGGTCAGGCACCCATGAGGTAAATCCTACATCTGTTTGTTAGTGGCATGGACATTCAAGTTTGTGAATGCGATAACTGGAATGGGGGGATGTAGGCTTTTCATATTGATACCATAGGTGCATCTACTAAAAATCTCAGATGAGTTTAAAACTCAAGGTCAAAGGTCCTCACCGAGAATTTTCAAGTTTACACCATAAGTGCGTTTGCTAGAACACGGAGGGGTAGCACTGGTGACCACCATTATTTTTGACATGTTAGGATGATGCCCCCTTTGCACCATTGATATTAATTTGCAACTAATTTGACAAACTGTAGGTTCCTAAATCTAACAAGATCCTATACTCAAGATGCACTGTAGCAAATTAGATTATTTTTCATTTATTTATACTTCCTTCATCGTAGCAGAACGATTGAGTTTATAAACTTAGATTTTTCTCTGTGTGAAAACAAATCAAAACACTAGAAAAAGATACAAGAGAACTCCAAGGACACCAAAATGGATCACTACAAACCACTGAGTATTCAGTCTGGTCACTGGCCAGATGTGTCTGCGGCAAGTAAATGCAGAAAGAATGTCCTGTGTTCTGGACACAGACTTTGCATTCATTTCACAGATGGTTACTAGTCTGCACAGACCTCTGCACATCTGTAGTACATGTCTGTTGTTCGACCGAAATCTGCATTCTACTATACTTGTGAGAACCAGCAGTCACTTGTGAGGACACACAACCCGGTCCTCACATATTTAAAGGCATGTTTGAGGCTCAAAATGTGGTTTTAGTGTCAGGGTTACAATTAGGTTATGGTTAGGTTTAGGGTAAGGGTCAGGATTAGGCATTCATTTTTGATGGTGAGGGTAAGGGGCTAGGGAAGGCATTATGTCAAACTTGGACAAACGGTCGTTGTTTGTTTGTTTTTTGGTTTTTTTTTGTCGTGGTCAGCTCAGGTTCACACCATAAACGAACTGCTCTGGAGTTCACTTGGAACTGTATCAAGACCACTTCCTCCAAAAGGTTGTGGTGTGGTTGTTTTGGTCCACACCTGAGTGCCATTACTGTGTTTTAACCAGCACACATGAACCTCACCAAAGGGCTAAAACAAACCAGAGTTTGATTTAAATGGACTAAATACTGGGGGTGTGAAAACACCTTCAGATTTCTGACAGGTTACATATGGTTCTATTGTCAGTGATGCAAAGTATTTGGAAAGGCTGCATTTTATTTAAAATTCACTTTTAATTAGTTTTTTTTTTTTTTCCTTTTTAAGGGTGAGTTTGCCTCTATGGGTGTTTACTCAACTGGCAACTCCTATGGAGTCCCTGAAGACCTAATCTACTCATTCCCTGTCCAGATCCAGGTAAGCCTCGATCTCACTTTCTCCATTCTTCTAGCAGCTAGCATTTTCTTTTCAGTGCAGCTTAAGACTAGCATTACCCTCCATTGTCTTTTTTTTTGGATGTGGATTTCATATTGAATAGGGTTTTTGTTTTGTTTGTTTCTTTTTAAATTAAAGTTTGCATTAAATTAAACTTTGGGGATTTCTAGAAACATTATAGATCAAAGAACAAAACTGAAGGTGCTTCTTTTTTTTTTTCTTTCAGAACAAGACCTGGAAAATCGTGGACAGTCTGGCAATCAATGATTTTTCCAAATCAAAGATGGATGCCACTGCAGCTGAACTGGTGGAGGAGAGGGACACAGCTGTGGCTTTCCTTGGAGTATGACTAGAGCCTGCACAGCAGCACTTAGACAGCCTCAAAACTCCAGATGCACGCCTGTGATGAAGCACTCCACCAGCCCCTCCATTACTGTGTGCTTGTGTGTGAGCGAGTCGGTGCTTATGGGTGTAAAGTTGCATTTGTATGTCAAACGATGTGAATCTGATTGTTATTGTTATTCAAGATCACAAAAACGTGTCATACTTTTGACAACATATGACTGGCTAAGTTCAAAAGCAGTTGTTGTACGTCATGATACACAAGTATCACTCACCATAAGTATACAGTACACTGAAACTCCACTATACCGGTTAAAGCTCTCTCCATTGTTTTTTCCCTTTATTGATTATTACATGGATCCTTTTTACAGCTAGTGAAGTCCTAAAACACTGGAACATTAATGCTGAAACAATTAAAAATTAATAAAAAAAAAAACAATAGGTTGTCTGATTATTGATTTCCATACATGGATGCTGTCATTTTTCCAGGTTTTGGCAATACAAGCCTTGAGTTGGTAAACTTCAGCCACTAAACCTATGCAGATTTGTTTTTGTTTGTTTGTGGGGGGGAGGAGAGAGTTCCTACCTGAGCCACAACCTTTTAAAGCACTCACAATAGGCCGTTTGAATCCCCTAGGTTACCAGATGGGCCTCGATGAGTCAATTTTGTTTAAGTATAATTTGATGCAAATGCTCGATCAGTTTGTGATCTGTAGTTGTGTAGTGTAGTATATTTAACATATTATGTATGTGTATATAAAGTAACTAAAATTGGGTCCTATTGCCACATTTAAATGGTGTATTAACATTAGTTATGCATGCATATTTTTATTATGTGCCATTTTGCATGGTGAGTAATTTGAGGTATTTTTGAAAGCTCTGTTTGGACTTCAGTAGTTTTCTGTTTTCCTATAGGCACAACCTGATTGTGATGGAGTCGAGACAGATGGGGTCCTGATAAAATATACAGTTAACTTATTAAGACTTGACACATGTGGCTCACAGGAGATCCACTGAAACCCAAAGACTACCATCAGAGCAGGAGCTGAAATTGCAGTTAAAATGAGTGTGGAAAGACTGTAGCTTGCCATGACAGTGGCATGCAGAGTAGCGTGGAGACTGTTACCATTATTCCATTACAGAGATTATACCTTGTTGCTTGCAGTGTGCAGCCCAGGTAAAGCAGGTACTTGGGGGACAGTAAGTAAAGTAGTGATTCACTTACAGTGAAATGACACAGTTTCACCAGGCAGGGGCAGCATTTCCTGTTTTATTTTTTACTCAGTTACTGTATGAAGAGTTATTATGTAACATCTGCAATTAATAAATTCTCAGCGGATCACTGAGGATAAGCGTTAAATGGGGCAAATCTACCAAAAACAGTCACCACTCCCATATCAACTGTTTCATTTTGAAAATCCCAGTTAAAGTACTCGTTTTAATCTTTACATTAAATTTACATGAAAAAAAAAATCATTCGCCGGTGTTTCATAGATGTCACACATGTCAATGTGAACACGTTACTTCTTTTTCTTGATATCACTTATTTTCAATATTATGAGTAGGGCTGTGCGATATGACCAAAATCTCATATCCCGATATAAGACATCTATCGTCCCGATAACGCCCGAAATCACAAAAATTCTACTTTTTTTTGTAAATTCTGTGAATCTCGGGCAGCTCGACTTGCATAGTGTTTCCAGCTGGGCGTCGTGTACCTGGAGTCGAGTGTTGCATGAAACTATACATTTTTAAGTTGTAACACCGTTTTCTTTGTGAGTATTTATTACACAGTGTGCTGCGGGAAAAAGCCTGTTCTAACGTTTGAGTCTAAGGTTTACTTTTTAGCACCTGGCGGCTCTTTTTTTGCTTCTTATCCGAAAATACTCTGCATACTCTTTCACGTGATTCAGTTTATTTTGAAAAGTCTCAACAGGATCTTCAGCTTTATTGTGAAAGGTTTATGTGAAAAATAAACAATCCGACACGTGACGCGATGGTTTTACCGTCGTTGTTGCTAACGTCAACGCATAAATACAGGCGCTTGTCCGTCCGTAGTGTGGTTATATTAAATATAAGAGAGAGAGAACTTTAAGAAATTAATATAGCCACTACAGTGACCATCAAAACGATGAAAAAATATTGCCGTAAACAGTTTATTTTGCGACACCACGAAATAAACGATAGCGTAAAATTAAACGATAGACGTTTTTATATTGTCATCCAGTATATATCGTTATATCGAAAAAGCCCTAATTTTGAGCTATCTTCAATCAGACATTGCCAGAAACATCGCACGTTGCAGAATCCTATTGGCTGTTAAAATCACGCACACAAAAACAGCTTTTGTCATTGGCTCCCATCCTCCCTCGGCGTTTCGATTCGTCGTTGCCTAGAATGGCACTGGAGTGTAAAATATCTTCAAAAACTATCCGATCACCTTTTTAACTTCTGCACCTTTTTTGTACGTCCTGTGCTTTTTGTAACACCCAGTCAGCGATGTCGAAGGGCAGCAGAAGCGGCTTGAATTAAGGTGTAAATAAAACACATACATATTTTTGTGTACCCCGCTGTTTCCTCTGCTGGATCTCTGTGGTCCTCCAGACCTGCAGGACCAGGCCGACCCCATCGACTTTTCTTCCGCCAGTATTCTACAGTAAGAAAATGGCTTCAAATGTCTGTGTATATGACGTGTTTCCCTCTCTAGATTAGGCATTGGTAGGACTGCACACGCGGCTGGTGTTGAGGCGCTATGTCCGGGTTTTCTTTTTGACATTTTTCAGCTGAAAAAGGTCGTTCCTCTTCCTCCTCCAGTGTTACGTTCACGGCACCGTTGTTGATTATAGTTGTCTCCTTGCGTGTGGCTTGTTTGTGGAGGGCATGGCGTTCATCTCTGTCTGTACATCACTCAGTCACTAATTCATTTCCGCAGGCAGCAGGTCATACAGACAGCGTGGCTGTACCTGTGTGCCCGGGTGTGTCTTTGTGTATGTGTGCACATCTCGCCGGTTAATTATTGACGGCGTGTGTGTTAGTTGACTTTAAAAATCCCTGTGGCAGCCATAAGGTGATAAAAATGAAAGCACTCGAGGGGGAGGGGGTGAGGCGCTGGGGGAAAGAAGTGTCCAGAGGTTGTGAGACACAGTAAGGATTTGTGACGTGGTTGCAGGGTTGGGGCAGGGGGAGAAATACAGGCGGTACGAGCAGTAAAAGAGCTGGGTACATCGGATCCAACTTCACGTTGAGGGGAGGACCACTTGGCTGGTGTCCAGAGAGATAAGTGTGGTCGGATGAATGTGTCCTTGTTTTACTCGCAGGCACAGCGTCTTATCCTTTAAAGCTTCAACGCTGGATCGATTTAAAAGGCTTGGGCACCAATGAAAGAATGACCAGTCGGGTGATTTAAGGATACCTCAAGGAAACTTTTAATATCATTATTATATATATATTTTTAAATCCATTCACCGGATGTTTGCTCAATGACATCTGGTTTTTTCTGGGATACAAAACTTAAAGCGTGTCCACTATTATTTTAAACACTACTTGGCAGCTTAACCATGGCACTTTATGTCGAAGGTAAGTGATCTCTATTTTACTAACATTGTGACTCTAGGAGAGGGAGGCTTAAAGGATTATGTTTATTTTTTTAACGATCTATGTGTTTTTTCCTGTTCATTTCAGAACATTATTTACATCAACTTTAACTTTCCCCCGCATATGAGAAAGTGTGACTTATCACATTTTAATTTAAATCACCGATTATTAAAAAAATAAATAAAAATCCACTCTTTGCCAGACTGTTACAGGTTTAGTTGAGTTTACCATCATTCATTTGACTAATAAGAAAAGTTAGTTATTTTTTTTTAAATTTCATAAATCTACTATTATTCCTAAACCTTTTAGTAATCATATTAAATAATCTTCACTACTATAGTAGAGTAGCCCCACTGTGATAAAATATGCAATAGTATGATAAATGTATGTTGAAATCAATAAATGAATGCATTAATAACAATGAGTAATTGTTAACTGATGCCTTCATGTGAAAAATGAGGCTTTACGAGTTTTCTTTACATAATCTTTAGTAGATTATCAGTAATCTGTCTGTAAGCAAGGTCTTCCTGGAAGACCGTCTGCTCACAGTTTACTAGTTTACTCACTGGTTTCATTCAATTCCTCCTACTTAACATGAACACACAACCTTGAACTGCTTTATAGCAGTTATAAACACAGTTGGGATTTTTTTTTCATCATTGGTATCATTGTTCTGCTGACATGTGGTGACTCAAACACCTCATTGGGATATTTTACATAGGTTTCTGCTTCTAAAATGCTATAATTAACTGGTTGGTTAATGCTGCAATACTTCCCATGACTTAAAGTAGTTACACATGGCTGAATCCGCTTTTCCTGTTTCTTGTTGAGAAGTAAGAGTAATTTTGTCCACAGTAACACTGACACCTGATTTCATAAATCTTTAAATGGTGTTAAACTGTTTCCCTTTGCTACTGTCTGCTATTACAGTATGTCGTGGTATTTGTCATTTCAGTTTCCTGTAGCCATATTTCTCATATGTCTCTGTGCCAGGAGCAGTTGATTGTTGTGTTGTAAGGTCACTTACGGTTAGTTGCAGCGCTACTTGGGGAAATTGGCAATAAAAAGTCTGAAAGGCAGGATATCAGGAATTGATAAACTATATCTCACAGCAGGTTAATAATTTCTAACGTCTTTATATACTCGTATGCTTCTCATTTTTAAAGAAATGACAACAAATGGTACTATCAAGGCGTTCTCTGTGAATATTATTATATTTGTCATTGCCATTCATTATATTTGAGCTACAGTTCATGTAGGTTTTTTAATAACTTCAGATCTTTATTCTTGTTTTTGGAAAAGTGAGTTTCTGTTGTCATATTTACCTTTTTTTAAACCTTCCTTATAAACTCTCAGGTCTGTGTGTCACATTTTGCTTAACAAGCAGTGAACATGTTTAACTGCTTTTACTAATGGACCATAACAACAATTAGGATGAAAATTGCTGTGCTAGCAGGTATAATTGCCTTGTCTTTTTTTATTTAATCAAAGCTTTTTAACTGGTCAGTGTTTAATGGTTTTGTTGGCACATGCAGAGCTATTGTTTACCTTATGCTCGATGTTAACAGATGGACTGATATTTGATAATCATTTCTTAACATATACAACATAAACTGACATTTTAGAGATAAATTAGCCATAGATTAAGTTGATTTAAGATGCCAACAACATAGAACCTGTGTTGGGCATGTTGCTGTTAAAAAACTGTTTTCATAACTATTTAAAAGCTATATTTTCCTTTTCTGAATTACAGTGATCTGCTGTAACTTTACATGTAATCACCTAGCTGTCAATTTTTTCCTGTGATGCAAGGAAGTTACATTAAAACTCCGCTTTGAGACTCTCAAATACCTCTCACAGTCCAAGGTTTCGTTTTTTAGTATTGTTTACTTATCTATGGAACAGATTGCTAGACACAAGCTAACATAATCACGAGGGTGTCACTGCTTGGAATAACGGGTGCTACAGTGACTCTTTAAGTATACCTCAACCCTTTTACGTCAAGTCTAACTAGAAGCATGACAGCTCTCCTCTTAAATGTCATTGCTTTTATCATACGGCGCAGATGGCTGTTGACTCAAAGACTGGAGTGTGCTCATGCTACAATAATGATACAAGAGCCTGTGTTTACTTCTTTGTACATCAGTCACTCAGGTGTTTCCATTGAGATCAGGGCTGCTGTTGATTAAACTGAGGATAAAATCGTTTGGTCTAAAATGACTGCAAGTAAAAAAAAAAAATAATAATAATAATAATAATAATAACATAATAATAACAAAGCAACAAATTCTCTTTGTTTGGTTTTTATTTATTTTCTGTCATATGTGTCATGTGAAAAAAGTTTTCACAGGACTGGGAGATCCTGTGGGAGGGGAAAAGTACCCCTCATTATTCAGTAGCTTGCATCTTTAGCCACAATAAGTTGAAGTAAATTTTTTATGACTTTATCAGATTTTTACATTCTCACTCATTGTGGTTGTATTTTAGTTTTTTTTTAGGTTTGTGGGCATATGTTTATGTAAAGCTCTGTGAAGTTTCTGCCACAGCATTTCAGTCTGGTTGTATTCATTGACGATTCAAGGAACACAAGGTGTCCATGTGCTATAGAGATCCTTGGTGTGAAACAAGCCCAATTCATCACCCCCTGTGCTTCACAGTTGGTATGAGGTGTTTATATGGAGGCAAGTTGTGCATTTTAGCAAAAGTGGGGCTGCGCATTATGTCCAGACATTTCCACTTTGGCATCATCCTCTGAAAGGACATC